AGAGTCGGAAAACCAAGACAAGCTTTCACTACTCTTAAGTCTGTGTGAAGATCAACAGCACTCAGCATCAAAAATGAGATCCGGATTTTCAACTCCAATGTGAAGTCAGTGCTACTATATGGATCAGAGACTTGACGCGTCATAAAGAGCATCTCAAACAAACTACAGACATTCATTAACAGCTAGCTGTCTTCGCTCAATACCACTCAAGATCAGATGGCCGGCCAGAAAAGATCAGCAACAGGGATCTCTGGGAGCGAACCAACACAGCAGGAACCGATTGTGAAATAAATAGGCAGGAAGAAATGGAGATGGATTGGCTGGCCAAACTCTGAGGAAACCGTCAAGTCACATCAGTAGACAAGCCATTGCTCGAGTGGAACTCGGCCGAAAGGGAAGCGGTGAGTTGGTCGTCAGTGCAAGGGTGACTTGGAGGAGGTCATGTGAAGAGGAGATGAAAACATGTGGGCAGACTTGGAGCCAGGAGAAGACTGTAGTAGAGAACCGAACGCAATGGAGACGCACGGCTGAAGCCCTATGTTCCTCTAGGAATTAAAGGAAACAATAATAATAACAATACTATTCACGTAATGAAATTACTGACAAGTATCCTTGAAAAACAAACATTCCATCAGTGGTACGTTTTATTAACAAATTAGTTGAATACACATTTACAACCGTATACATTTCAAAAGTCAGTTAGCATGACGTCAGAAATGATTGCAATTTATAAGCACATGGTTAGGCGTGATGTCGAACTAAGACATACAACGTTTACAATGGGTGTGAAGAGTGGAACCCCTCCCTCACCACACACACATATACACACAGACAGTCTGAAAGCCTCACAGAAGTTAAGTCCGGATGATAGTAGATGCCTTATAATTCTCATTATTCTACTGCCTACCAGATGGCATGCAGATCAAGATTAGTTGGGCTACAAAGTATAATTTCTCCAGCTGATCTCGGGGGTCCATTGAGGGTAACCCCCTCCTATATGTTTGACAAGATAATGAAAATGACGCCGGATGAAAAGGAGATCACTGAACACAGATGGTTGTCACATAAATAAAAGATATTGTCGCATAACTTGGGTATATCAGACGATAGAGATTTAAATATTTTCAAGAATTGGTCTGTAGGGATGTAATTAGATACTGGTTTGACCACGAATTGGTATCAGGTAGACGACCAGAGAATACTGAAAAGATATTTCGTCCTCATTTGGGGCTCATCGGCAATACGCACACACTGGGTTTCAATAATTCTCTAACTCATATGAATCCCTGGTGAAACATGAAACAGATCTGATCCCTACAAACTAATTCTTGAAAATTAATCTGGTCCTCTTACATTCCGAGTTGAGCACAGGGCTTCAACAACACATCTCCATTTTGTTCTGTTTTCTTTTGTCCTCTTCAAGTGGGTACACGATTGATCAAACTCTCTCATCTCTTGCTCACACAATCTCCTCCATGTCACCCTAGGGCGACCCACCTGTCGCTTCCCATTGAGATGCCGTTCGAGCGACGGCCCGGCACGAGATTTCATTTGGCGGTCTCCTCAATATATGCCCGACCGGTGCATCTCCACTTTCTCCTGCATATTTGTTGAGCGATCGGCTCTTGCCTGTTGGTTTGTTCCTATAGTTTCTTGTTGTTTATCCTTTCTGGACGTGTGATCTTCAGCATGGAGCTAGCGAAGGCATCTGTTTTCGTGACACGTCAAGTTTTTGACCCGTATAGAAG